TACCAGGGTTGACTAAACATTGATAAATGTGATACATTGATTTTCAATGGTCAGGCTGCAGTTATTTATAGGAAATAATTCCAGAAATTGATTTTGGAAACATTACAAAACTCAAGAGCAGGACTTCAGTGTGTTGGCTGTTATGCTAGAATTATCCAGTAGAATTGATAATAATGCTGTGTTATGTTTAAATGGTGACATAAATATTACTTTAAGTTTGATTAACATTTAAACAAGTTGTAACGAACAGATACAACAGTTCTTTCAGATATTATTGATCACATTTAAGAGCTTGAGCAATGGTGTGAGAGAAAATGACTTCCAGGCATTCTTGAAATTACTACTTTAAAATTCTTTGAACTAATATTCATAGAATATTTATGTAACTGGAACAACTTGGCATTTTAAACAATGAAATATCTTCAAATAATTATTCTAAAAGGAGGAATATATACCATACATACTGTTAGAATTTCATGACTGGTTGATGAGGGCAACTTTTGAAGGAAAAATCTGATGATCCTTGAACGAACAGTTTTCTATATGATTATTATTATGACTCATAAATCCAGCCTAGGAAATGCATAACCAAAGTTCTATGCATATACCACCATCTTTTTCATTACTCTTGTCACAATCTGCATAGTCACCTTTTCATTGACTTTATTTTTTAGATCAGTTTTGATTCGTAGCACAATTGAGGAGGAGGTACAGATTATTTCCCTTGTGCTCTTGCTCCTATCCAAATGCTGTTTCCCCATTACCACCATCTCCCACCAAAGTGGTCCATTTGTTATAACTGATGAAACTACATCGGTCTATCATCATAATCACTCAAAATCCATAGTTTACATTATAGTTCACTCCTGACAGTGCATATTCCACAAGTTTGGACAAATATATAATGACAAGTACCAATCACTATGGCATCACCCTCTGTGCTGCAGCAAGTCACCCCTCTCCATGTTTATCCTTTACCCCTGACAACCCCTGATTTTTTGTTACCTTCACAGTTTTACCTTTTCCAGCATATTACACAGTTGGAATCAGACAGCATGGAACCTTTCCAAATTCTCTCATGGAGTCATACACTGTTAAGATTCCTCCATGTCTTACATTTTGACAACTTTTTTCTTTTTTAAAAAATTATTGTTATTGAAGTATATCTTTGCCAGTGTTTTGATAATATAGTTCCCTTTCTCACTAAAGCTAGCCCTCCCACCACCAAAGCACCCATAGTCCTCCATCGAAGTCCACAGTGCTCTCTCCTCTACCCTACCACCTCCCCCCATGCTTAGCCTTCACCCTCACCCTCTGACAACCACAGAGATCTATGGTCAGTTTTCAAGGACTTTTTTTTTAAAAAAAGATTTATTTATTTATGCATACAGAACTGAGGTACAGGCCAGAGGTGTGGGGGAGGTGAGAGGCTTCACCAAAAGAGTGGGGAGCAGAACAAGCAGATTAAGGAAGTACACTGCTGAAGGGAGCAGCGGGCGGGTCAGCAGAGGTCTGCCACGCCATGTGGATCTCCTCCTGGGCAGGGATGGAACTCATGCTGAAGTGGCTTTAGCTTCTTAGTGCTGTGCTTTAACCTGCTGCACCACCATAGAGGGCCCTCAAGGACTGATTTTAAAGATTGTCTTTGTTTGATTCTTTGTTTGGTTTTTCTATATTCCATAATAATTCATTTCTTTTTAGCACTATATAAAATTCAATTCTTATGGATGCACCACAGTTTATCTATTAAAATACTGAAGGAGATCTTTGTTGCTTCCAAATTTTGGCAAACATGAACAAAGCTGTCATAAAGCTCACACTTGTGAGCATATAGGTTTTCAACTCTTTGAGTAAACACCAATGTTTAGCTTTGTAAGAAAGCACCAAACTGCCTTCCAAAATGACTGTACCATTCCAATAATGTATGAGAGTTTCTGCTGGTCTATTTGTCAACATTTAGTATTGTTAGTGTTCCTGATTTTGTTCATTCTAAATAATAAGTGTATAGTGGCACTCATTTTTTTTCTTAATTTGCATTTCTCTGAGAACATAAGATATGGGGCATCTTTTCATATCCTTCTTTGCCATCTTCCTTGGTGATCTATCTGTTAAATCATTTGGCCTATTCTCAAATTAGACTATTTATTTTCTTCTTATTGAATTTTAAGTTATCTTACATGATTCTTTATCAGATGTGTCTTTTGCAAGATTTTTTCCCAATCTGGGGCCTGTCTTCTCATTTTTGTGCTATTTTAACAATCCATCTTATCAAATATTTCTTTGACTAATTTGTACTTTTGATATTGGAGCTAAAAAGTCATTGACATACCCAAAGTCACAGGATTTCACCTGTATTGTCTCCTAAGAGTTTTATAGTTTTGTGTTTTAATTTTGGCCTGTGATCCATTTTGACTTAATATTTGTGAAGTGTGTAGTGGGATCTGTGTCTAGATTTTTTTTTTTTTATGTGGAGATCCAGTTACTCCAGCACCACCTATTGAACATACTATTTTTGTTTCATTGTCTTATGTTGGTTCCCTGGTCAAGGTCAAGGAATTGACTTTTCACCTTAGAAATACAGCTGGTAGACTTAACTAGAAGACTGTCAGCCAGTTACTAGCCCAGTGGCCATCAACATTATATTGTATGGTATTCCCTCCACTTTGGGGCTAGCTGTTATGTAGACAGCCATTAAAAAAAAAAAAAAAAACAAACAGGCCCTCCCTGGTGGCGCAGCGGGTTAAAACACAGCACTGAGAAGCTAAACCCAATTCCGCATGAGTTCGATCCCCACCTGCCCCGGAGGTGACCACATGGTGCGGCAGACCTCTCCTGACCCGCCCGCTGCTCCTCTCAGCAGTGTACTTCGTTGATCTGCCTGTTCTGCTCCCCACTCTTTCTCTGGTGAATCCTCTCACCCTCCTCAACTCTGGCCTTTACCCCAGTTCTGAATAAATGAATAAATCTTAAAAAAAAAAAAAAAACAAACAAACAACAACAAAAAAAAACAGTAGGAACTGCACACTTAGAATAAAGGAAGCTTCCTGACATTACATTACAGAATATGCCAAGAACTGCTTTTTGCAGCACAGACACATGTTGTTTAATTATGGGACATGTTCTGAGAAATGTGTAGCTACATGATCTTGTCATTATGTGCCTAGCATAGAGTTTAATCACATAAAACTAAATGGCATGTAACTGACTACTAGGTTATATGGTACAGCCCATTGCGACCACCATAGTCATACATGTAACCCAATCCACTGTTGACCAAATCACATCAAAGGGACATATGCCAGCAGAGATTCTTACACACTGCCATGTCTCCCTCAGCACTAGGGGTGTTTCAGCAGAAATTACTCAGACTGAAGCAAGAACTTTGCTTAAGCTCACTACCATGTCCGTGGGCAGCCAACACCAGCGACTGAACAGTGTGGAAATATTAGGTAGAGTTCCTTATTTCCAGTCAGGATTGACTCTAAAGGGTTATTTCAGCTTCAGAACAAATGAGATTTTCATTGGAAATTACTGAATCCCAGATAAACTTCTACTGCTCTTTTCTTTCTTAGTTTTCTTTTTACAGTTGTTAGCATGCCTGAAAAATCTCCTGCATGTTACTCTCTCTGTCAGAATATGCTTCTTGGAGAACCCAGTCTGTAACAGTTAGTAATCCACGGTCTCATTGGATGACAGTCCCTATGGAGAATTAAGAATGGATATCGTACAACGGAAAGTCAAGTTTCTAATATTAACAAATGATGACACTAAATTCTCCCTGCTTGAACAGTGAGCCCCACTGTTTTCACCCTGCAGGAGGTGTTATATTACCTGTGTTTGGGAAGAGGTGACTGTCATATACTATAGCCCCAAATTCTCTAGGTGTTGAGCAGTAGGTAATATTAGACAACTCCTACAAGCAGCTGAAATGCCAACTGTGTATCCTAATATAAAGATGATCTGACAATACTTCCTCCCGGGTAACTTCCTCACCATTTCAATAAAATAAATCTATTCAATAAATATGTTTATCAGAGGCTCACCTTGTACTGTCTCTGCTGGGAGCTCACTATGAATAAATCACAGTTTAAGAAAAAGATCCACCAATTAGTCATTACACAGGGGTCACTGAAATGGGTTGTCCACTCTTGCACTTTGAAAAGCAAGAGTATGGCTGCTTGATAAGGACAGTAGCAAGTATTTTGCTATTTACATGACTACATATAAACTTCCATCTATTATAGGGGTGTCACCCCTTTGTTTCACTCTTCCAACAAAATAAAGAGACATGAGTTTTACCTATGATTTTTCTGAATCTCCCTGAATTATGCCTTTCAGTTTCTATTACAATAATGTATCACCTGGAAGCCTGGAATTATTACTTCTCTGCTTGGGACTTTTCATGGGATTGCTGGTCTTGCAATGTAGAGAGGGCCTATAGAAGGACTGTCCACCCTCCCTACATCATAAAAATCCCTTCCTATAGTTCTGACAGCTATCATACAACAGGATGTAGTTTTCTCTGCTTCTTTTGTTCATTTACTTTGATCACTGATGTGATCTTTAGTACAGACAGTTAGGCACATAGATCCTGAGATGTGAGACTCTACAGGGCTCATTTCTGGGATATAAAGATGCTTCTAGAAAACTTGGAAAGTCCACATGACACAGTTATGTAGGACATGCTCATAAAGCAGATGTTTTCTAGTTTTGATTTTTGTATCTTCCGCATGAATTAGGCTAAATGTCTGAGTTTCATTCACAATTGCTATGATAGGTAATTTGTGCCTGTGGTAACAGTAATTTGGAATTAATAATGAAAATGAAAACTAATTAAAAAATAAATTCTAAACTCAGGTTAAGATAAGAATATGAAGTATTCAAGGGTGTCTTTTATCCAAATTTTCTCTTTCCATTCTAAAAGACAATTACTTTGGTTACAATAGGAAAAAAGCTAGATTGCCACACAAATTCTTATATTATACATTCATTAGACATACCTGCAAACCTTCAATGGCCAGTTTGAGGATTGAAGGTGTCAGTTTGGAGGCTTGCTTGAAGGAAAAATTACTCCAGTCTATAATTAAAATGAAACCATTGATCTGAAGTTCTGGATCTTCAATAAGGACTTCCAAGGACAGCAGAATGGCACGGAGGATGTCTGTGAAGGAGTTTCTGTGGTCAAAGTAGAAAGGAAAGTTTGGTGTGACTATCATGAGGTGATGGACTTTATATGCAACATTGGTGGCCTGTCCTTACACGGCTCTGTGAGCCCAGCCTGCAGGGTAATTTGGTGTCTTGTTCCCAATGGCCAAAAATACATCTGACAAACTTCATGGGAAGATGATTTGAGACTCCCAGGATGGGAGTCTCCCACTGACATGACCATACCAGCACCCCAATCTTGTTGAGGTAACACTCTTTTTTTTTTTTTTTGTATTCTATGGGTCTATATACTCTGCTTCTATCACAACACTGATTGGGTTTCACTAAATATATCCTCTACTTGTCTTTCTGTCTCACAGAACTCTAATCTCTTGCTTTTATGAAAGATTGACATTAGAACCTGTTTTCACCAATAAATAAATCCAAAAAGGATTTATGTTCTTATGACAAAAGTTGAAAAATACAGATATGTTTAGCCTTTTTTTGGTGGCAGCTGTTCTAGAAGCAGTGGCCACCCGAGCCTTGCAAATGCCAACCTCCATACCTAGAAAACACTTTCTATAGCTGAGTATTTATCATATGATTCTTGCTTTTTACTACATGCTAGTGCTATTTTAGGTGGCATGTGTTATTTGGTAGGTTAATTTTTGGGTTTGAGAACAATAAAAAATATTACCATGTAAACTAATGGTAACTGCTTCTTCCCTCTACACCATTTGTTAACGGAACAATTGACTTGGCTACTAGGAACACTCAACTTTCAGGTGGTGGGGAACCTGTACTTCCCTCTCAATGAATCATTGCTAAATGAATAATGTGAGGCCTCAAACAGAGGTGCTTATTTTGATTAAACCTCTTATTCCTTTTGTGTGTTTAAAATCCTGCTAAAAGTGTAAAAATATCCCTGCAATTGATGCTATTTTTTAGTTCCAATTCATGGATAGAGAAAAATAAAGCAGGAAGAATAGCTTATTTTCCCTGAAGGTCTACAGAGTGTGATTCAGAAGGAAATCACTTTAGAACATCAGTAACTATGACAACAGGCAGACCTGAATACAAACTAGAGCAACAGTTCTCCAGGGTTGTATGTATTCTTTCCTCCACATTATATATTCCCACTCACCAGTGGATTTTTCTTTTCAATAATATTCAGACATGAAAAAATGATGGCATATTCCTTCTGCTAATTCTCCCTAGAATTATCTGAGCAATAATTCCAAGATATGACAACCTCTCTAAACCCAGTGTCTATTTTTTTTTTTTTTTGTAAATAGAAATATATAAGCAGGTCTGACCAAGAATGGTATTCTCAGTTATTTTATTTAAGCTAACATTAAAATAAGAGGGTGCTTCCTGAAATGATCACTTCTCAGTGTGAAATGATCAGAGTCTTGAGCATTTCAACCTGGTTCAAATTTCAACCAAAAATAATAATTATAGATTAAAAATCAGGAAATTTGAATAGTATGTGATAAGAATTTATTGAATGCTTATTATTAGCTCACTGTTTTTTTCATATTCAAAATTACTAAACAGTATATCTTATTCTACTTTCAAAGAACCTTTAACTTAGTTAAGAAGGGCCATGAGATGAACAACATGAGTTGAAAGGTGTCAACAACATTTGCATCTTCAGTGAAGAATTTATGAATGAATAAAGGGTAGGGATAATTCCTGAAGAATAAGTAAAAATTTGATACATTACAGAGAGGGGTGTAAAGACATTCCAGAAGAGAGGAGTAACACAAGTGAAAATGAAAAAATTAAATGAACCACCTTCAAATACTTCTAATTAAAATTTTATTTCTTTTATCAAGTTAAAATTGTCCTCCCTTAGTCCACTCACTGGGTATAGTTCTGTCACAAAGAGAATAACTTCAGATCCAACTTCAAGTACTTCTAATTAAAACTTTATTTCTTTTAGGCCCTCCCTGGTGGCGCAGCGGGTTAAAGCCCACCACTGAGAATCTAAAGCCGCTTCCGCATGAGTTCAATCCCCATCCCGGAGGTGAACCACATGGCGTGGCAGACCTCTCCTGACCCGCCCGCTGCTCCCCTCAGCAGTGTACTTCGTCGATCTGCCTGTTCTGCTCCCCACTCTGTCTCTGGTGAAGCCTCTCACCGCCCCTGAGCCTCTGGCCTGTACCCCAGTTCTGTATGCACAAATAAATAAATCTTTTTAAAAAAAAAAAAAAAACTTTATTTCTTTTATCAAGTTAAAATTGTCCTCCCTTAGTCCACTGACTGGGTGTTGTTCTGTCACAAAGAGAGTAACTTCAGATCCTTTCTGTAGTCCACACTTTCAATGATACATTTTGGTGTTCCTGGTCTCCTATATAAACTCTAAACTAAACAAACAAAAAACACACCTTATGAAATGGTTTCAAATCCTGTCCTCATTGGTTTCTTTTATATGTACACTGACTCTAAATTTTAAAAGATATCAGAGTCCTGCTAAGGGAAATTTTCAGTAAATTTTGTTTTACTTTGCTTTTGCATATACATAAGATGTGATCTAAATACCCAAGTCTTTCTTAGACAAATATGTTCTTATTGGGAATAAATATTGGTTTAAGTGGAGCAAAAAATATGAGTTCAGGAAATTCCAAGTGGAAATATGGATATGTCTAATAGTACACTGGAGGCAACCACTAGGGAATTAGTCTGGTTCTGGAAAAGCTTTCTGAGGAAAAGTACACACAGAGAAAATTATGACCTAAAGACTAAGCCTTAGGTAAAGCCTACACACAATATTGAGGTTGAAAGAAGAACTGAGGGAATGAAAAATGAGAGCATAGTATTGTGTCTTAAAAAAAAAAAAAAAGGTAGAACATTTCAGGAAGTAAAGGTGTAATTGATTGACTTACTGTATCATTGACCTGAATTCTTCACTTATCTAGGCCTCCAAAGAAGAGCTACTGCATCATCAATGATAAGGGGCATTCCTCACCTCTTGACCATGTGACTTGCTTTAATTGCGTGTGAGAGAAATAAGAATATGTCAACTCTGAGCCCAGCTCTTAAATATCTCAGGTATTGCTACTTGTTCTCTTGCCTTCTGCCACTGCCACCGTGAAAACATGCCATTGCTAACCAGCTGGACTAAAGAGAATGCCTCAGTCAACTAATCTCTTCATAAGAAACAAAGTCATACAGTTGAACTCAGTCTAAATGAACGCTACCTAACCCCACAGATTTATGAACAATAATAAAATTTGAAAATTACTTTTTAAAGATTTATGTATTTATGGATACAGAACTGGGGTACAGTCCAGAGGTGCAGGGTTGGTGAGAGGATTCACCAAAGATAGAGTGCGAAGCAGAACTGTCAATCACGTGGGCCACCTCCCTGGCCAGGTTTTGAACTCACGCTGCAATGGCTGGAGCTAGCTTTGTAGTGTTGCACTTTAATCCATTGTGCCACTAGGAAGAGCCCTGATTTTTTTCTTTTTAAGTATGTGAGTTTGGGGTGATTTGTTATTCAGTAATTACTGTCCAATACCAGAGGAAAGGATTCAAGTCAGATATAATATAAAGATTAAAGATATTAAGAAATTACATCTAGTTGACAAAGCCATCTTTAAAGAGTTTTCTTAGAATAATTTTAGTTGAATGATGATTTTTGCCATAAATTTAGAAGGAAATCATTTAATCACTTTAGCAAATCATTTAGTCACTATGCGCATATCAGTGAGATATAGTACCTCTTCCCATCACTCCCAAGAAAAGACATTGAGTGAGTTGACCTAAGGTGGTGGGCTGGCAGCAGAGCTTTTTCTTCCTCCAGAGACACAGTGGGCCAACATCAGCTAGGGAGCGACTGCATTAAAAAGAATGAGGGATATAACTGAGAATTAGATGATTGACATCTCCACAAGGAGGTGAGATAGAGACCACCAGAAAGTGCAAGAAAGTCTGAGGAATGTTCCCACCAGAAAAAACATGGGACATTGAAAGTCACCTGCCCTCTCCCACAACTAGACTCTCTGGGCTTCCCCTCAGTCCCTCACCCCCTGAACCACGTGAGAGCTATCTCCCAGAAGGAATATTTACTACTGAGTCACGTCGAGCTGATACACCCAAGGCTACAGGATTTTAGCTTGGTGAACCCAAGAAGCACCAGCCCCATTTCCACCGGGACATGACAGGCATTTGGACAGCCTAACTACACACAATTTTTAGATTCTTGTAGCTCAAGTCCACAATGGCCTGCTCATTTTGCTCATCTTGAGGCTCAGGGAAAAGGCATCATTAGTGAAGCCTGCTGAGATTAGAGCTAGACTGCAGCTAATGGATCAGTTACAGCTTGGGACTTCTAGGAGAACACTGTCAGACACCTCACTGGCCTTGACCACACAGTGATTGCAGGTATTTCCCTCATTTCAGCTGACTCAGCACTGAGGGAGGCTTGTGTCACAGTCAATCTATTGCAGTATTCTATCTTGTCTATTCTAGTAAGTCTCATGGATGAGGAGCTTCAGAAAGTTTCAAAAATGAGGAAAACAACTTAATACTAGTTACGGGTATTATATCAGCCCAACTTAGGTTGGTAAGGTCACCCTTGATGTAAACGAATTAATGTGAATGGCCACATTATTTTAACTTCCAGTGGAACTCTGGATCTTGCATGGAGTTCATGGTGAGGGACTAATCACTCCTGGAAATGGAATGTTATATCTTCTAAACTTGTCTAGCTCTCATAATTATAAAATCACTTACAGGATAAAGAATTGGGCAGAGATGCAAAGGACTTTAGAGATACAGCCAATACATTTCTTTGAGGAGATTTTATGCCTTGGAGTGCATCCCACTTGGGTGACAAGCTACAATCACTTTTGCAATCAAGAGATTCCTTTCCAAAATCACAACTTGCTAATGGTGCGCAAGGCAACTTGAATTAAATAGTAAATTAGTGAAATGACACTCTAGAAGTTATATTTCACTGAAAGGACGCCTGTGACTTGAAGTGGAAGTATACAATTCATTTTAATTAATTCAGAAAATTGCCT